GTGTTCAAGTTTTTACTTGATTTCAGGACCTGAGAGAGAGTTCATTGCCAAACATTCACTTTGTTCAGTGAGCGGCGTTGGGCTGGAAGCGTGTCCCCCGTGTGGTCACGGTGTGTGGTCACTGCAGATTCCCAGCCTGTGAACATGACCACTCAGAGGGCGGGCACTGCCGACGACGTGGCAGATGCTGGGCCTCTCTCTTCTCTGAAGGCCAGCGCCACGTCACTCTTCAGACTTCTGTTTTGTCGTGCTAGACCACAAGCAAACACGTCCGTCGAGTCAGTCCCCTGGCACGCTCCCAGGTTAACCGTCGTTAACAGGGGTGTAGCTTTCTAGATGCTTCTGTGCACACATGCAGACACACACAGGATAGCTGCTTTCTTACAGAAAGGGATTGTGCATCCACACCTCTGCACAGTGCGCTGGCCCGTTACCTTCCGCTCCGGGCCCACAAGTGCACCGTCCCGTTTGCCCACCATCCCGTCATCGTGGTGAAGTCTGGAACACAAAGCTTACTGTCTTAATGGCCTTTAAATGTCCAGCTCAGCGGCACCACAGCCGTCCCCACCATCTGTCTCCGCGCTGCTTCGTCCCCAGAGAAACTGTCCCCATCACACGCTAACCCTCGGCCCCCCGCAAGCCCAGCGTGCCCTCTGTATCCGGGAGTTCAGCGCTACCGACATGCCACCAGCTTGCTTTTCATTGCTCAGCATTGCCCCCGTGAGCATTCCACTCGATGGCCCAGAAGTACATTAGGGCACAGGAACGTCCTTTATTTATTGATTCCCGTGGTGTTGGACATCTAGGCTGCGTCCAGTTTCTTGTTACTGGCACTGTTGCGGATGATCCGGCAGTGGCCATTCTGCGCGTGAATCCTTGTGCCGAGGTGCAGACGTGTCTGTAAGATTTGGAGAAGTGAGCCTGCTGCGAGACAGGGCCACCCGCGGTGGGGACCTGCCCGCTCTGCCCCATCAGTGGCCGTCAGCAGGGCCCCTCCCCTGGTGTTTCTCGGTGCCAGGCTGGCCGAGTCTCCAGGAATGATGGGGGACGGCTTGCATCCAACCCTCAGGTGTTTGCTTAAGTCACGTGCCCAGAGCTGGATCAGAGCTATGGGAGGCCCTGGAACGCGTGGTCTCCGAGGCATCCGCTGGTTCCTGGTACCCAGCAGAGCTGTGCTCACGGCTGTGACACTGAGTGCTGTTTGCTGTGGGGACAGAATTAACTCCACTGGCTTCAGACTCTGATAGGCCAGCTGCATCCCCTGATCCCACCTCCCAGGGCACAGGGTGACCGGGGCAGGGGGTGCCCCAGTTCCAGGAAGCCCCATCCGCCTCAGCAAACACCTGCCGCTGAATTTGTGGCTGAGCACAGCACAGTGCTCTCGACCCTCCGTCTCTCCAGGCCATGGAACAAAAGTCTGGAGCACAGGTCAGAGACCATCCTCCTGCTTGGGAGGGCTTCATGGGTACAGGGGCTGTCGCTGTCCCAGAGTGGGGCCCCATCCTCAGAGCATCCTCAGACCCTCTAAGGGGAGGTCAGGCCATGTGCATCTCTGCCGGCAGCCGCTGGGCACCAGGGGTCCCAGCCGGCTCTTGTCGCTGGTGCAGACAAGACAGGCCAACTGATGGGCCCGCGTGAGGGGCAAGGCCGACTGCATGGGACCCCCGTCCCTCACCCCATCTCCTGCTCTGTGGCGATGACCCCAGCTCTCAGGGAGAACCCAGGGCTCTAAGCAAGGACCCCACGGTAAGACCCGGACCTGGCTGCTGCTGGGGGCTGCGCCTCAGAGCCCTCCTCCCTGGAGAGCCCGCTGTCCCGAGCTTAGTGGTGCCCTGGGGCTCCTGTTAGTGATCCCGCCCACTCTGTCCTTCAGGAAGTTACACCAAGTAGTCCAGTGACCGGAACACAGCGGAGATCACAGGGCTGGGGTGGGGCCCCGACCATGTACCCTCCCCAGCCCCCAGGAACTGAGCTGAATACACCTGCACTTGAGAAAGAACTGAAATCATCTTCTGCAAAGCTCTGGCTCTCTGAACACCTTCAACTACGTGCTCTCGTGTCATTCTTCGCACATAACCCTCAGGGTCTTGAACTGTGTGACTTATTACAGAAGTAGGTACAAGGGGATTTGGGTGGCATGGTTTGGGCTCTCCCTGTGCGTAGGTTGTCAGGAGGCTGGGCGTTCTTCCTGGTGGCAGGTGTGGAAATACTCATTGATTAAAGCTGAATGCGGGGCGCCTGGGGGCTCAGTGGGGTAAGTGTCTGCCTTTGGCTCAGGTCATGATCTCAGGGTCGTGGGATCGAGGCCCCTGCTCAGCGGGGAGCCTCCTTCTCCCTCTCCCTCCACTCATGCTTGCTGTCTCTCTGTCTCAAATAAATAACAAATATTAAAAAAAAAAAACAAAAAAAAAGGCTGAATGCATACCCAGGGGTTTGTGCCAGGTGACATACAGCATATCCTGGATTCCAGTGCCAAAGGAGGACCTGAAAGGTGGCCTTCATTTTGCACATGCCTCGGGAAGTGGCCTCTATCATTTGATTGTGCGACGGAGCCCCAGAGTTCTGCGGAGCTAGTTTTGATGGGCCCATGCGATACTGGCCTTCATACCCTTGCCTTAGCCATGCTCAGCCAGAAGCCAGGAAATGGTTAAACCCTGAATCCGTACGCAAGACTCCGTGTGCCTCAGAGGTCTGGCTCCGGAGCTGGGCAGGGACAGGAGCCCACCCCTCAGCCTGGACCTGGCATGGGGGCTCCAGGTTGGGTTGCTGACTGCCCTACGCAGGACAACCCCGGGGCCCACAAACCCCACAGCGAGGCTCCCACCCCCTCTGAGTTTATGCACCTCTGGCCCCATGTTGTTTGGGATTTTGATTTGTTTTTAAAGGGGAAACCTTAGCTTCTCACCTGTGCCACTTGGGTGGCCCCCTTGCAGGCTGGTTGCCCGTCCCCCTCCCCATCCCCTGGCCAGCTCCTGACTCTACTCTGCCCAGCGGGGCCAGCCCAGGGCCCTGCATTCCTGGCCCCGCTGGATGCCGGGCTGCTTTCCAATGGACTCTCTTGGTCAGTCGGACTCCCAGGACCCAGCAGTAAAACACAGAGACATCTTTACCTTCTTCAGGTTTTTGCTGTAGTTTTGTTGTTTTTCGTGTACAAAGCCTTCCCAGGAGTGGCCTGGCCTCCCAGCATTTCCTGTCACCAAAGGGCTGGAGGCTGTGACAAAGCACTGACCACACAACCCTGAGTCCATTTGGGAATGAAGTGGAAGAAGGTGGGCTCCACAGAGAGGGAGCCTGGCCTTGGCTCTGGGTTGGAGTGTCTCCTGCTGGGCCAGTGTACCAGGCAGCCCCATGAGCTGAGGCCAGGGCCCATTGGAGTTGAAGAGGGTCCCATATGTAGGGTGAACAACGAGGTTTGGTGGTGGGTCTGTAAGCAGGCTGATAAGCAGGCCAGCACACGTGTGGGCCGCTGCACCGCCCTCTGCCCTCCAGCCTGAGTGTGGGAGAGGGATTGGAAGAGAGCAACTAAGATCGAAAGCCGAGGACAGTGTTGGCAGGGCTTTTGGCGTCCATGTTGGCAGGGCCCAGGAGACTCCGGGATCCATCAGCATGTCTGCAGAATTGCTCCTGAACTCAGTAGCTCAAGACAGCAGTCCTAGCTCTTCTCACAGTCTGTATGGGTGCCAATGGGCCAGCCTGTCTTCACCTCACTGAGTGGGAACCTTCTGACCAGTCACTCGTCTGTTGGTTGGTGCTGCCTCCGCTGGGCCTAGCTGGGGCTAAGGGCCAGAATATCCACAGGGAGGCTCTCTGTGTGCCCTAGGCTTCCTGCCAATACCGTGTCTGGACTCCCTGGACAAGCATCCTGATGAGAGAATCAGGAGGAAGCCATACTGCCTTTTATGACCTATCCTCAGAAGCACCCTTTCCAGTACATTCTTTTGGTTGGAGCAATTACAAAGGTCCGCCTGGTTCAAGGGAAGGGAAGAGAACCATCTCGCAGTGGAACTGTGCCCATGGCCCTCCAGGATGGCAGATGGAGTGTTGCCACCATTTTTGGAAAACAGCCCACTCCACAGTCAACCAGGGTCTGGCCCTGGACACAGACAGCACCTCTGTGTGGGGTGCACCTCTGGGGAGGTGAGCATCTTCCAGTAGGGAAGTGGTGACACGGTGGACAGGAAGGCACAGTATGGTTAGTGGTCCCAGCATCCCAGATCCCAGGTCTCCAGGGACAAGGGTCCAGCAGGTGGGAGACTCTGGCCAGCTGAAGGCAAGGTGCTCCCTCTGTTCAAGGGAACGCGCTGTGGACCCAACCCCCACCCCACCCCCAATCTGGACACCCCATCTTGGTGGGGTGGGGGGTGGGAAGGTCCAGTCCTGAGGAGGACGGGCAAGCTGGGGCCCCAGGGGGAAAGAAGAGGTCAGGTCACTGCTGTCCTGGGATTGAACACGGCACCCCACTCAGGTGAGGGGTGTCAGCAGGTTGGCGCCTGGGAGACAAGGTGGAGACCCCACAGTAAGGTGCTCCCCGCATACCAGCTTGGCCCAGAGGTGGCTCCTGCCTGCCCTCCAGGGTTCCCTCCAGGGCAGGCCCGTGGCTGTCCTTGCGAGGAATGTTGGTGAAGAAGTCGGACGGGACTGGCCACCCGCTCCTCCAGGGACCCAGAGGGCTGGGGTGGGAGTTGGGGTGGGGGGTCAGCGAGGCCTGGGGGCGTAACTGAAGGGTGATGGGGAGGCCGCGAGGGGCGGCAGCAGAGAGCTCGGGTCTGGGACCAGGCGAGGGACCTGAGGCCCCGGAAGACGCCTGCGGGGTGGGCCGGGTGTCGCCCCCGCCCCCGGTCAGCACGCGCGAGCCGCAGTCCTCCGTGCGTCCCGCCCCTGGGCTGGAGCGAGGAGACCCTCCCCACAGCCAGCTCTTGCACCCAACTCCTGCCACGCCCCTTCCGTCGAGGCCACGCCCCTTCCGTCGAGGCCACGCCCCTTCCGTCGAGGCCACGCCCCTCCCGCTCCAGACCCGGAGATCATGGTGGTGCTAAAGGGCGTTCCGGCGCTGCTGTCCCCTGAGCTGCTCTACGCCCTGGCGCGGATGGGGCACGGCGACGAGATCGGTGAGGGGCGGGGACAGGGCCTCGGGACCCCCACCCTTAGGCGAGGCGCGCGCGGGGCCCCCGCCACCCCAGGCCCTGCAGGGGTCCCGACCCAGACTGTGCCCCCAGCCGGGGGGCAACGACTCCCCAAGCCCGGGAAGAGCCTGGTCCTGGGGTGGAGGCCTTGGTTTGGCCGCCCCGTCCCACTTCCCAATAGGACTCCCCCTACCCCACCCCCCACCCACATTCTTTAGGAAACTGGGGCCATGTTGGTTGGTGGCCAAGCCCCTGCCCGGACCTTGGTCGGCCCCAGGCGGTCACGAGGACGGTGGCCCTTGGTCCAGGCTGCGCCGCGTCCGGCAGGTCCGGCCCCTCCCCCAGCCCGGCTTTCTGGGGCCCCGGGGCCAAGTTCCCAGCTGCGGCCTCAGGCCCAGTGCGCTGCTCGTTCTCCAGACCCCCTCCCAGACGGCCCCCAAGGGGCCACACCTCTTTCTCTGGCGGTTTGCCTTTCCTGGAGCCCTGGACCTCGGGCGGGGGCTGCACCGGCGGCGCCCCAGGGGGTGGAACGGGGCGGGGGTCCCGAGTTCTGCCCTAGTCCTCAGCACCTGCAGCTTCTCCTGCTCTAGGAAGCTTCCTCTCCCCGCCCCCACCTCTGACGAGAGGGGTCGGGGAGGGCAGTGGGCGTGGTCTGCCGTGTGCGACAGGTGCCCCGAGGTCTGTGCCCACCCACGCGGACCCACCAGGGCATGTCTGACCGGGTTGCGTGGCTGTTCAGTTTTCGCAGACGTGAACTTCCCCACCGCCTCCATATGCAGGTGTGGGCCGGAGGAGATCCGCGCTGACGGTGAGCCACCGCCCCGGCAGGGAGGGGTTAGACTGGAGACGCAGTGCTCCCAGCTCTGCGCTCCCCAAGTGTTGCCCTGTGCCCCCATCCCCACTTACGCCCCAGCACCCACCGGTGACCCAGGGAGGGCCCCAGAAGTGACCCTGGGCCTCCTGCCCCATCTCAGGCACCTCTTGGTAGCTTCTTGCAAGTGGGGAAACTGAGGCCCAGTGGCTTGTGACTGGCTGAGCACTGATGCATCCCTGCTCCCCACAGCCCAGGTCAGGTGTTCAGCTTTTACTCTGCTATAGAAATCCCAGTACTGACCTCGCAGGCTCCGGGTGCCCACATGCTCTGTCTCTGGGACCCTCTGACCCTCAGGGGTGGGTGGAAGGCGTGACTCGGAGGGTCCTGGAGCCAGGGCCTCGAGGTGATGGTAGTAGCAGTTAGTACCAAGAGCAGGGGGATAGGGGGTGTGAGGACACCAGCGTCCTGCCCTGTGCTGTCCCACCTGGGCTGGCCCTGGGCTTGGCTGTCCCCCCGCCCTCAGCAATGCTCTGAGGGGACACAACTCTCCCTGCAAAATCGAGGCCACTGAGGCACAAAGATGTGAGATGTAGGGTAAACCAGCCCTTCTGGACAGGGGGCCAGTGGTCTGAGGCCCGTTCAATGGGCTGCTGACTCCAGACCCAGTGACCTTGGCTTCCACCCTCTGCTGAGGGAGATGAGCCAGCCATGCCTGGGTTTACACCATGGGCCAGAGGACCCAGCACGCTCTCCTCTCCAAGGAGGACAGGACAAGGTGGGCCATGGGAAAGGCCAGAATGCTGGAAGGTAAGGAGTGGCCAAGCTTCCGAGTGTCCCACACGCCCTGCGATTTAGTGCAAACAAGCGATGGGGAGTGAAGGCCAGCCACGCAGACAAGCCTAACCACGGAGAAGAGCAGAGAACACAGCAGAAGAAAATGCACTCAGGACAGCAGGGTTTCCCAGCCGCAGGCTAATAAGATAACAGCCGATTTTTGTCTTGTCCCCAGCCCCGTATTTTCCCGTTCCGTGCAACCAGCACAAGTCCCTTTAACAATGAGAAACCAGCCCCACAGGATGACAAGGACCTCAGAAACCAGTGGGCAGCCTGGGGCAGCCTGGGACAGAACAGCCTCTTCCCAGACCCCACTATCCTCATCACAGGAGAAAGGTGGCCACCCAGGGGTCATCAGGGGGTGCCGGGGTCAGGGAAGTGGCCCGGGTGCCCCTCCTGGTGGATGAGTAGGGGAGGTCACCACCAGTGGCCTATGAAGTACGGACTGGAGGGCAGGGCGAGCCCAGGGCCGGGATGGTCACAGGTGCTGTGGCAGGGAGATGCCAGTGCGACTCCAGTAAGTGTCACCAGGCGGGCAGCAGGGGCCTGCATCCCCCGCCCTGTCCCGGGCCCGAGGCCATCCTAGCTGGCCAGCTTGGTGAGGCCCAGGGCGTGGACAGGCCCGGGAGGACAGGCAGCACTGTCGGTGGCTGGGTGGGACAGGGCTCCCGTCTGAAGCTGGCACTCCGCCCTAGGCCTGGGCATTCCACAGCTCCTGGAGGTTGTGCTGAAGCTGCTGCCACTGGACACCTACGTAGAGAGCCCGGTGAGTGCCTGTGGCCATGCCGCCCCCTCCCTGCCCTGGGCCTTGGTTTCTTCTGAGATCAGACCTCAGAGGACCCCTGAACTGTCTTCCAGTGGGAGGGGAGCTGGGACCAGGGCTGCTGGGTACATAGGCCACAGAGCTGAGCCCCCTCTCCCTAGGCTGCTGTCATGGAGCTGGTGCCCGGTGACAGGAAGATCGGCCTTCAGACCCCGGTGTGGAAGAGCTACGAGTCCATCCTCCTGGAGGCCAGCTGTGCGGTGAGGCTGTAACCCACCCAGGGGGCTCTCGGGGACCCTCTGCACCTCTGTGGAGGCCGGTGGGAGTCACAGACAGGGCCCCAAACCGCCCCTACAGTTGTGGCTCACGTGCTCACCCCCCACAGAAAAGTGACCCTGGGGGTGTGGCTGTTCCCAGCCCCCAGCCTCTCACCTCTCAGGTCAGGGACCCTGTTGTGGCCTGAGGTGCGTCACCCACCCCAGCCTGTGTGAGCGGAGCCAGGGGCAAGTGAGGCACCCCTGGCCCCTGTCTTATGGCCGGAAGCCTGGCCTAATGCTGTGTGTCACCCCCTGCTTTGTGGAAGGATGAACCTCTCCTCCCCAGGACCTCCCACCGACATGTCTTGGGCAGGACCCATTGAGGACAGGCTGCTGGGACTCCTGTCCTGGGCAGGGGCCCTCCTGCCCTTAGACCAACTCCAATAGACACAGGGCCCCAGGCAGCTGGCCACCACAGCCCCCCATGTCCCTGCCTGCCCAGTCCTCACAGCTCAGAAGCTGAGCATCCTTGGGACCCCAGCCAGGAGAGCCAGTCGTGGAGCTCAGAGCGGCATGTCTCCTCATGCCCCTGGCGCCTGCTTGGGCCCTGAGGCTTTCTGAGCAAGGCCCCTCCACCGTGCCATTTTGCCTTCCAGAGCGCCCTGGCGAAGATAGAGAGGTTTGAGTTTTATGAGCGAGCCAAAAAGGCTTTTGCTGTTGTAGCAACTGGGTGAGTTCCGGCCGAGTACCTGGGGTCCCTTTGGGTCCTGCTGTTCAGGGTAGCTTTGGCTGGGACTGTCTGGGTCTGGGTCCCAGGGCCACTCCCTGTCCCCATGTTCAGCCCCGGCCCCACTGGGAATAGGACTGTCGGGATTCGCCTGAGGACTGGTCCCTGGACTTGCCTAGTGGGTGGGATGGAAGTGGGCAGGACAGGTGGCAGAGCCGGGGACCCAGCTTGGTGCTCAGCTCAGCTCCTTACGCAGGGAGACGGCCCTTTATGGAAACCTCATCCTCAAGAAGGGGGTACTGGCCCCCGAGGCACTGATCTAGGCCTGGCGAAGACCCCTGGGCCCAGAGAGGAATCTGCATCTCTGGGCCAGATCACGGACAAACCGGCCCTGTCCTGCTCAGCCCAGACCGCCCCCAACTGGGGACCCCGGGGGGCCAGGCCAGTCTTTGGGGGGTAGGGGGAGGTGCTGCTGATGGGGACTGGGACTCACCCAATTTACAATAATGATGTGAAGTGTGGTGACTCGTCTCTGAAGTCAGAGGTTTCAACAACAGCCCCGTCCTCATAAAGACTTGTTCGGTGCCGAACACGAGGGAGGCCACTGGCTCCTCAGCGCGCCCCCCACCCCCATGCATCCTCAGGGAGGAAGGAAGGCCTCTCTCCTCCCTAAGGTCCGAGGCAGGTCCCTGGGTTCGGGACAAGAGCTCACAGGAGTAGAGGTCCTCTTGTGAGGAGACCCCACAGAGGGCTGGGCTGGGCGGCCACGACTGCACTGCGAGAGCCTGGGGGTGAGCAGAGCAGCTGCCCAGGGGCCCTGAGTGGAGGGTCTGCAGTAACCCCCAGAGCTGGGGGTGGTGGGCAGGGGTCATTCTGGGTGCTGGGGAGGGTGGGGATCGGTCATCTGTTCCCTCTCTCCAGTGGTTGAGTGCCTATTGAATACACAGGAGCCCGAGCTGTTCTGGGAAATGGGCTGGTGGGGGTGGGGAGGTGAAGGACAGGAGGACGTCCCTTGCGTCCCTTGCGTGGCCAGCAGGCAGAGGGCCAGACTGCCTGAAGGCAGCACGCGGAAGGGAGGCTGTGATGGCTTCAGCATGAGGCTTGGGCTGGGGCTCAGGGTGGGGATAGCCTGCCATCACTGCTCTGGACCCCAGGGTCTCCCCAAACGCTCCCACTCCCCTCCAGGCCTTCCTGTAGCCATGCGGCTGCTGTGCAGAAGCTGGTGTGCGGGGCGCCTGGGCCTCTAGGCCCCTCAGAGCCCGGGGCTGGTGTCCCAGATGTCACAGAGAACCTGGGGGGCAGGCAGGCCCCCTGGGCTGGGGGTCCAGGTCTCAGCCTGGCCGGGCCCAGTCATTGCCAGGGCTTAACCTCAGACCCCTGACCCCACGGCCACCTCTAGCCACACAAAGGCCTTGCTTTAAACAGCTTTATTGAGACGTAACCGACCTAAAATAAGTTGCACACAGTCCAAGCGTACAGTCGAATGCCTTTGGATGTTGTCTACACGGGACAGCCTCTGGCCGCTGCCAGTGTCCTCCTGCTCACAAGGCTCGCACACCTCCACGGCCCACCCCCGAAGCCCCAGCTCGCCCTGCCTCCCCAGGCACCCTCAGCCATGTGGCTGCACCCTCGGGCTGGAGGAGATGCCCCTGGGAAGTCCTGGCTCCAGAGAGAGACTGGGCAACAAGCCACCCTGGTCTGCCCAGGGCCAAGGCTGCCACTGACCTTGGATCTGAGCTGGGCACCCCCAAATTGCTCAGAGGTGGCCACCCTTGACCTGACGGGGCAAGGGGAATGACCTACGGGCCTGCTAACCCCCGTGCGTGCCATGCGGGATGCAGTCTGGGGCCTCCCCAGGCACCTGGCTCCCCGGATCTGGGGCAAGAGCGGGTACTAGGTGCACAGTGAGGAGGCTGGGGCCCATCCTGCTGCTTTAGGGCAGGACCACGGACAGGTCACGGTCCAGTCTGGGGTCCCTTCTGCGGTGACGTGAAGATGACCTGGCCTGCTGGCACAGTGCCAGGTGGCGAGCACATGAGCCACTAGGGAGAGCCTTGGGGCATGGGCTGCCATCCAAGTGCTCAGAGGGGACCCACGACAGGACACGGAATTCCAGGGCACCCCAGACAAGCCCGCAGTCCCCGGAGCAGCCGCGTGCCTCAAAATCGAGCCCTGGATGGCCTCTGCCTGGAGCTCTGTTCGTCCTAACCAGTGGAGGGGCTCAGGCCGGGGTGTGGGAGGCACTCCAGGCTTCCCTCTTGAGGCAGAGGCGTGATCGCCACACAGAAACCCCGACTGCCTTTGCACGCGTACTCCACACATGTTCAGTGCATCAAATAGCCCCAGTGAGCCTGTGCCTGCAGCCGCAAGGTTGGGCCGTGCCCTGGGGTCCGGCCCCTCAAACAGCACTGGACAAGCACCCAGAGAATGGGGAGGACCAGGAGCCTGGGCCTGAGTCCTGCACCACCCCCCAACCTGAGCCCCTGTGCACCTGAGCACCCAGTGATGCACCCTCCTGCTGTCTTTTTAGGGCCTATCTGTGGGGAGCTGACTGGTCCCAACCACTGACCTCTGCCATGCCCCGGGCCCCATCCCACCATCCAGGGAGGAGGCCTGAGGGGAGCCGATCATCCCAGGAGCAGGGGCGCTGGGTTGAGGGAGCTTTGGGGGCTCTTAGTGTTTGGAGACAAGCCTGTGGCACCAGGAGGACACAGGCCTTTCCTTGTCCCCGACAGAGCAGGCTAGGACCATGGTCACTGTTGCTGAAGACACATGTGGCCTCCACCCCTATGAGATTTATTTTTCCAGTTGGGGAGGGGTCAGGGCTCCCCAGAATCCTCCCTGGGGTGGTAGATGTGGTCTCGGTCCTCCTCTGGCCCTTGAAGCGCCTGGGGAAGTGACAGTGCCCAGGGCCAGAGCCCTGCCTCATCCTGGGCCTCCCTGGCCTCCTCGGGTGCTGGGTGGTACAGGTCATCACGGTCCAGCTCAGGATCCCACCTGGGGCTTGGAACATGGCCCAGGGTGTCCTCCATCCCTGCCTGGGCCTTGGTGCCTAAGGACAAGGAGATGGGATGGAGGCGAGCTTTCCCTCTGGAGGGAAGTCGACTCCACGGGGGCTCCGCTGCTGTGACCTTGCCCCCCCTTCACCTGGTGCCCACCTGACCTTGCCGTTTCTCCCACACGGCAGTGGCAAGGTTTGGTGCCGCTAGCAGCCCCAGGAGCTGGTTGTCCGTTTTCAGAATGTCCACCACACGGGCGTCCCAGGCCCTGCAAGCAGAGCTGGGTCAGGCCTCCCTGTGCAGGAGGAGGAGCCAGGAGCCCCGCCAGTGCAGGCTGGGGAGTGGCTGTCTGTCCTCTGGCCTGGCCTGGCCTGGCGTGGCCCTGGGCAGAAGCCAGCCGGGGTTGCCTCATGGGAGTGCAGGGAAAGGGGCATGGCTTAGAAGCGCCTCTGTGGGGGGCGCCTGGGTGGCTCAGTGGGTTAAACTTCTGCCTTTGGCTCGGGTCATGATCTCAGGGTCCTGGGAACGATCCCCGCATCGGGCCCTCTGCTCGGCGGGGAGCCTGCTTCCCCCCCTCTTTGCTTGCCTCTCTGCCTACTTGTGATCTCTCCGTGTCAAATAGATAAAATACATTTTTTTTAAAAAGTGCCTCTGTGGGTAACTATAACCCTGGGCGTGGGGGTGGGGTAGCCATCCTGGAGGCTGCTAGGAGAGCTGGGGGATCATTCTGGAGCATCACCCCCCCTTGTAGGTCTCTGACAGATCCCACAGGATCCCATGCTGGTCGGAGCAGTGCCCCCTCCCCAAAGCTGCTGGGCAGGGCCTCCCCCCATCCACAAACGCCCTTAGCCTAGAGGGTTCCCAGAAGGGGCAACAGCAGGGGAATGTGGCAAGGGCTGCGGGGGACACTCACTCTTTTGTGTCCCGCTCAGGACCCCCGACTTGGCCTTTGGTCTTGATGAGGACCTGGAAGAGGGAGGTCACAGGTGTGGGGTCCATGGTCAGAGAACACCTGCAGAGAAATGGCTCCAAGGCCCCCCCGGACCATACTTGCTGACTTCACCCCACCCTCTGGGGACAGGATTGAGGCCCTCTGGTTCCTGGAGAGACAGGGCCACCCCTGGGGCTGCGTCTGCCCACCCCTCCCTGGCTGATGGCCTGAGGAAGGAGGGCCAGTTCCTCTGAGTCCAGCCCTCTGTGGAGCCAGGGGAGCACAGGGCAGTGAGTCGAACATGACCCTCGGGGAAGGGTCGCTGTCTGTTGCCCGAGGGGGTGGGCCTTCCCCTTCCCTACCCTCCCAGGTGTGCAAGGCTGAGTGGTCTGGACCCAAGGCGGGATGGGTGGGAAGAGGGCTGGGGAGACACGGCCTGACACCAGTTACGCGCACAGGTCACACCTGAGCGGCACGCATGAGGACGAGGAGGGGCTCAGACTCACAGGGCACGTGAGTGTCATCAAGGGCCCCTCCCCCACCTGGTCCAGCAGGCGGCTGTGACAGGGGCCACTCCCGCTCAGCCTGAGGCCCTCCCTGGTGCCCACAGGGCCCCCTGCTGCCCTGGGTGCCCTTTCTTCACTTTCCAGGCTGGTGGGGCGGAGGAGCACACGTACCTGGGGCAGGGAAGCTGGGCCTGCCTCCCCCAGCAGCAGAGCCAGCAGGCCAGTGACCAGGAGAAGCCTGAGGGGACCATACGGGAGAGTGAGAGGCAGGCCACGGCTGCTCCTGCTCCTCAGTCTCCGGACAGGACACCTGGGTGGGCAGCCCGGCGTGCTGGCAGCTTGGGTCCCAGCTAGGGAGGCCTGGGGCCAGGTCCACGGGTGGTTTCATCGTGTCTCCATCCCACAGACCAAGGACACACAGGCACAGGGGTGGGACCGCCACAGGCCCACACTTGCTCCCGGGGCCCCTCAGAGCAGGCACCACTGCCCGCTGCACCCAGCACTCTTGACAGACCCTCCACTGCAAGCTCGGGCCGCCAGGTGGACGTGATGGGCCATGTGCCACCCAGCTCCTGGCATCCGGGCTGGCAGCTGCACACGGGCACACTCCCCCTGGGGCACAGAGCAGTGAGGGCTCCCAGCACCCTAGGCTGAGTGCTGACAAGCTAGGACCCGGGGCAAGGTCTCAGAGCGCTCTGTGTCCTTGGCACCCGGAAGCTGTGCACACGGCGCCCTCAGGGCCAGACAGCCCCTTGCTCATCTCAGAGCTGCGGCTGGACAGGGGTGCTGGTGCCCGGGCAGGAAGCCCGGGAGGAGGCGGGCAGGATGGGGTGCTCTTTCCAGACACATTCAACTTGACCCCTAGGGTAGCCAGGATGGCCAACAGGGGAGAGGGGCCAAAGACCAAGCCCCAGGCATGGAGTCTGAGGGGCCATGGCCAAAGGGAGGTGACACAGAAACATAGCACAGGAGAAGGATGGACCCAGCTGTAAAGGTCCTGGACGCCTCATCCAAGACAGGAGAGGGGAGGATGGGAGACGGACGGGCGCCTGATGTGTGTGTGTGCATGCGTGTCTGTGCGTGTCTCTGCGCCTGTGTGCGTGCATGTGTGTGTGTCCGCACGTATGTGTGCACATGTGTACGTGTGCGTGTGTGCGCGTGTGCATGGTGTGTGTTCGTGATGGATACGGTGTGCGTGTGTGACAATGTGTATGTGTCTTGTTAAAAAACAAGACAACACTCCCAAAATGGAATCGCTCACCCCGAGCCCCAGGTTACCAACCCGAACCCAGAACTGGATCCTTAGAGCAGCGAGGCGGGAGCGGCCCGGTCAGCCCTGGGTGGGTCACCTGTCCCACAGGCCCCTGCGTCCGTCCCCTAAAGAATAGTTGCCGTGCCGTGACCCACCTGCGTTTTGCTGCTGTGACGTCCTCGTCCCACCCCCTCCTGCCTGTAATTCCACTTGCAGACCTCCGAGGGCCTCCTATCTGCTGGGTGGGACGCCCGATTTTAACCAATTTTGCTCAAATGAACTCAACATTTTCATATGCCTCTGTTTATCTTTTAGCAGTCTGGGCACGCAGGGCTCTTCCTGGCTCTCCGGGGAAGGGTTCTTTCTGTCTCTGCAGCTGGCACGGTGGCAGGCTGAGCAGGGCTGGGAGGGGCCGGGGAGCCCCAGGGAGCCCCGGGGGTCAGCAGGAGCCTCAGATCAAGACTTCCCACAAGCTGTCCCCTCACCCCACAGCCACAGATTCCAGTCCCACAAAGACCTTTGCCTCTTCTCCAAGTGGCTCAGCACTTCAGGGTGAGGGTTCCTGTAGACACCACGGGAGCCAAAGGGCAGGGGCGTGCTCTGGACTTCGGGTCATGGGCCTGGTCTCATTCAGCTGCCCTGCCTCTCCAGAGCACCAACTCCCAGATAGAGGCCGGCTCCCGTGCCGGCAGGGGCTGACCCATGGACCTGTGCCTACGTGTCTGGACTCCACACTACCCCAATTCTGTCCAGCTCAGCCAGGGAAAGCACCTCATGGGAGAGGATGCTGCTAGGTCCAGAGACCTGGGATCCTGGCTGTGGGCCCCCTGTAGGCCTCTCTCCAGGAGGACAGCTCTGGGTTCCAAAGGGCTCCCAAGGCCCCCAGGCCACCCAGTGACTCACCTCTCTACAAGGGAGGTATGGCTTCTGGTTCACACCAGGGTTCCAAGGGGAAGCCCCAGAACTGGAGGACAAGGGGAGAGCCCTGGCTAGAGGAGGAGGGAAGGGGACCCCCATGGGATGAAGGAAAGAGGGGACCCCTGCTTCCTGGGTGGTGTTCCCTCAGGGGACCATCTGACCCCTGCCCTCAGCCCCAGACAGCCTCCAGCCTCCTCTCTTGACCCAACCCTTTCTTTCCGGCAGTCACAGACCTGGTGCCTCCTCCCTCCCACACGAGGGGAGATTCCTTGCTGGGCCAAGGGACCCCAAGGGACAGCTATGCTCTCTCTTTCTCATGGGGGGCCCAGGGCTGGCCCCCAAAGCTGGTGCCCGGACGCAGACCACAGAGGGGCCACAGTCACTGGTAGCTCCGGATGGAGAGCTCTGGCAGCCCTGGGTACCGCAGCCAGACACTGGACCGAGGACAGAGAGCCACCCCCGCCTGCCCACCTCCCCGCTGACTCCCTCCCCTGCAGCCAGCCTGAGCCAGGAAGGAGGTGCCCCAGGGGCTGGGGGGTCTGGCTTCAGGGGCATCAGGCATTACCTCCTCATGATGGAGTCCCCTTCTCGGTGTAGACGGTGCTCTCGGGGACCTGTAGTTCCAGACCCAAGCACACAGTGACTCAGGCACTGGCCCTGCTCCTCCCACCCAGGATCCTCGGGGTTTTATGGCTCCGTGTGGGTGTGTCCGGGCAGAGGTCAGAGACCAGGGATCCCAAATGCACCGGCGACTCGTTCTACCCAGCTAGCTCCCCAGCTACCGTCACTCCCACGGCCCAGCCCACACCCATGACAGGACCCACGGCCCAGCCCACACCCATGAGAGGATGGATCCAAGGCAGCGGTGCCTCCCACCTCAGCACCCATGCTGGACCCTGTATGCCCCACGGCCCCTCCTCCTGGCCACCCACCTGCAAAGTGTTCTGACAATTGCAGGCTCGAGCTCTGCGACCCGGGGGCGCCAGACCCCAAACTGGGCTGTCTCGTTGGCTGGAAGCTGGAAAACCTTCCCCTGCCCTTTGCACTCTGGCATTCGGGGCACAGTCCCCCTCCTGGAGCTGGGTTTGCTCAGACACAGGCAAGGGACAGGGCTTCCCGCAGGTCGGAGTGAGGAACGGGCTCTGGACGGAGGCCCGAGGCCTGAGGCCCAGGTGCAGCTGAGAAGTGGGTGCTCTAACAGGCCGCTGAGCCTTGGGTCAGAAGAGGGGGCACCAGCAGCCTCCTGGAGGGCGGTGGGCACAGAGGCTTTGTGGGGGCACGTCAGGGAGGCAGCCCTAAACATACCTGAGGGCTCCCAGCTGTCAGTCAGGGCAGAGCCCCCCGGACTGACCGAACCCGGCCTTGAGCAGTGTCGGCACAGGAGGGACCCCCGGGAAGCCAGGTGGCAGAACCAGGGAGGACAAGTGACTGCGTGAGGTCAGTGTGCACAGCACAGGGGGACAGTGCGCAGATCCGGTCTGAGGGAATCGCTGAACCCCCATCATCCCCGGGGGAGAGGCCAGAATCCAAAGTGGCTACGATCTCGTTTGTTTTTTGTTTCTTTTTTTAAATGAAGAGAATTGATTTTTTGAGCAAATTGAGGTACAGAGAAAAATCTAGCAGAAAGTAGAGCCCTCGCCCACCCACCCCGGCTCACCATTTCCCCACCTTGGACATGTGGCGTCGGCGTGGCACCCTTGCTCCATGTGGCGTCGGCGTGGCACCCTTGCTCCATGTGGCGTCGGCGTGGCACCCTTGCTCCCTTGACAAGACAATTCAAACACGTATTTTTCAACTGAAAATTACAAGACGGGCAAAGAAACAAGAGAAGCATGACCACAATTAGGGGGACGCAGGTAATGGAAAGTGTCCCTGAGCCAACCCGGATGTCGGGCTTTGGGAACAACAGCTGAGCGGAGCCCGCGGTAAAGAACTAAAGGGAAGGATAATGAAATGTCTGAAGTAACTTCAACAAACAGAATTTTTTAAAGAATCAAATGGAAATTCTGGAATTAAAAAACATAATCACTAAAACTTAAAAATTCACTAGAGGGTTCAGTAGAAGACACATCTAAGCATTTAATATCTTTAAGTTAGATCCGCTCTTAAAGACGGATCAATAGAAATTGTGCAAGGAGGATATCCTAGGAGGCCAGTGTCGCCCTGACTGCAGAGGCAAAGACACTACAAGGAAAAGAAAAGCATAGACTAGTATTCCTCATGAACACCGACAACAAACTCTTAATAAAATACTAAAACACATAAAAAGGAATTTATTTTAGGAAGGCAAAATTGATTTAATATTCAAAAATGAATTACTACGTTGCACTATACTGATAAAATGAAGGACAGAGGGGCGCCTGGGTGGCTCAGTGGGTTAAGCCTCTGCCTTTGGCTCAGGTCATGATCTCAGGGTCCTGGGATCGAGCCCCCAAAAAAATGAAGGACAGAGAACACATGAGCATTTTAATAGACGCAGAAAAGGAATCTGACAAAGTCCAGTTCCCACTTATGATAAAGGCTGGGAACTAGGAACTGTTCTAGGAACATGCCTGATGAGAAGACACGTACAAGACACCACAGCAAACCCGAATTCAGTGTAGGACGGACAGCTTTCTCCCTAAGACTAGGTTGGAGATGAAGACGCGGCTCTTCAGCGCCGTACAGTCGATGCCACGCAGTGCGGCAAGAGAAGAAAACTGCTTGAACTGGAATGGAAAAGTAAAACCGTCTTTATTTGAGGAGGATGTGATCCCATATTTAGAAAGTTCTAAGGAATCCAAAAAGAAATTACTAAAAATAAATAAACAAGTATCAAGATCTCAGGATATAGGATCAACGTACGAAAATCAGTTGTCTCTATACACTAGCAATGAAAAATTTTATTGAAATTATGGGAAAAGTTGATTCATAATAACACTGGAAACAATGAAATAATAAGAACAAATCTAATGAAAGAAGCACAAGACTAGCGCTGAGAGAAGTTACAGATCTAAACTCACGTGTGGGATGCCGCGGGACTCTGTGGGGTCAGTGTCTGACTCTTGATCTCAGCTCAGATCTTGAGCTCGGGGTTGTGAATTCAACCCCACACTGGGCTCCATGCTGGGTGGAGCCTATTTTAAAAAAAATGCATCATTCTTTTAAAAAAAATGCATCATTCTTTTAAAAAAATGCATCATTTTTAAATGTAAAAGCTGAAATTATAAAACCCCTGGAAGAAAATAAACGAGAAAATTTTCATCACTTTGGGTTAAAGAGTTCTTAAATACAACACCAAAAGCACGGTACGTAAAAGAAAAAAATGGATGTTGGACCTCATCAAAATGACCAAGTTCCGCACTTCAGAAGACACCACCGAGACAGTGAAAAGACACATCATGAACTGTGAGACACTGTTTGTGAATCATCTATTTGATAAAGGACTTGTATCCAGAATATATAAAGAGTTCTTACAACTCAATAATAAGACAAAAATACCCGACTGAAAAATATTCGGAACATTTGAACAGGTATTTCACCAAAAATATGTAAGTGGCTAATAAAACCATAAAGAGATGCTCAGCTAGCTTCATTAGTTATTAATATCGTTAGTTATCAATAACTAATTCGTTATTAGAATCAGGTTCAAAACACAGTGCGATATCACTACATGCCCTCTAGGTCAGTGTTAGGGCAGAATTGCTGCCCCCAAAATTCCTATGTTGAAGTTCTCATCTTCAGCACCTTGGAATGTGGTTGTATTTGGAAATGGGATCTTTAAAGAGATCATTAAGTTAAAATGGGGTCCTCTGGGGGGCACCTGACTGGCTCGGTCAGGGGAACATGCGGCTCTTGACCTTAGAGTCCTGAGTTCAAGCCCCAGCTTGGGTGTAGAGATTACTTAAATGAATGAACTTGAAAAAAAAAAAATGAGGTCATATGGGTGGCCCAAATCCATTCTGATTAGTGTCCTTTTAAGAAGAGGAGATGAGGGGGGCGCCTGGGTGGCTCAGTGCGTTAAGCCTCTGCCTTCGGCTCAGGTCCTGATCCCAGGGTCCTGGGATCGAGCCCCGCATCGGGCTCTCTGCTCAGCGGGGAGCCTGCTTCCTCCTCTCTCTCTGCCTGCCTCTCTGCCTACTTGTGATCTCTGTCAAATAAATAAATAAAAATCTTTAAAAAAAAAAAAAAAGAAGAAGAAGAAGAAGAGGAGATGAAAACAGGCACACACAGAGGGGCGGCCATCTGAAGACAAGCCCAAAAGAGAAGCTTCGGAGGAAACAGCCCTGCCCTTGGTATCAGGCTTGAAGCCTCCAGCATCGCAGGAACCCATGGCGTAGCCACCCAGTCCGTGGCACTCGGTCCTGGTGGCCCTAGCTGACGACCACAGATGGCTATCTGGCTATTAGCAAAAAGACAATAACAAGTATCAGCAGGAGGTGGAGAGTGGAACCCTCAGACATTTCCGGTGCCAGTGTAAAATGGTGCAGCCCCTTTGGGAAAAGGTTAGCATTTTCTTAAAAATTCAACCTAAGCTACCATCTGGCCTAGCAATTCCACTCTTAGGTACCTACCCAGAGAAGTGAGGCCAATGTCCACACAAACACATGTATGACGTTCCCAGCAACACCGTCTACCGTAGACAAAGCTGGAGACTGTCCAGGCGCCCACCGGTGGGTAAAAGGGGCCCAGCCAGACCGTGGCTTTATTCACATTTTATTCAGCAGCAGAAGGGGCCAATCGCTGGTAACATGCTGTTTTCCTTGCTGTCTTCCACCGGCTGGGAGCCGGGGATGTGGAGCCTGACCCCAGCCAGGCCGAGCGCCGCACTCCATGGCCGGACAAATGCCTACCGGGCGCCTTCTCTAAGGGGGCACAGCGCAGGGGCTCAGGCACAACGGTGCCCGAGAAGGACAGGCTTGCCCTGGGAAAGCTGACGGCCCAGGGGCTTCAGGCGCTGAGACATGAGGAGGAGGCCTTCCTCCCGGGGTGTGAAGGCCAAACCAAGGCGAGCAACAAGGAAAGTCTGAGCACCTGACCAAGGTCGGGGGTGGAGGGTGGGGGGCAGCCCGGATACCTCCAGGCCGAGAAGCCGCCCAGGCTCGGCTGGCCAGGGTGTGCGCTCCCCTGCAGTGAGGTGGTGTGAGTGTGTGATGTGTGCGTGGTAGGCTATGCCCACCCCACCCCGCACAGCTCCAGTGGGGGGGGCGCAGTGGGAGCGCAGCGGTGGCTGCAGACGCAAATGCTCCCGTCCCTCCGCCCGCGTCTCCCAGGCAACAGCAGCCTCAGTCTCGGCTCGGCCCCTCCCCCGCCCCGCCCCGGCTGGGCTGCGAAGCGTCTGGAACCGCATCCTTCCTCCGCATCCTCGTCCTGCGACCGCATCGTGCAGCAGCTGCCCGTTGGAGCCGCCTGTGAGCCATTTCCACCTTTCTCCTTGTGGAGCGGGGGCAAGGGGGGCCGAGTGTGTGCAGGGGAGTGTGCACGGGTGTGTGAGGTACGTGTACAGGTGCGTGTGCGGTGCACCTGTGCGAGATGCGTATGCAGGGATGGGGGGGTCACTGCGGCTGACCCAATGGCGGCCAGGTCGAGCCGGGGTCCTCCCTTGGGGTCTCGGCTGACGGGAGCGGGGAAGCTGTCCCCAGGCCTCCCGGACGATCTGGGGGCCTCCGCCGGGTGAGCCACTGCCTGGACCTTCCTGAAGAACCGTAGGTATCCAGCCTTGCACAGACCCGACGGCTGCCCGGATCTCCGCACAGTGGGGCAGCTTGGCGGGCGCGCGGGGGTGGGGGGTCGGACTGCTGAACATCAGGGCGCCCGCCACGGTCTGAGAGAGCCACTGGGAGGTGGGCGTCCCCGAGGTGGGGAGGGGGTGCCGGTTCCAGAATCCGTTCAGCTCTGTCTGAGGGTGGGCGAGAGCTGGGGCAGGGGGAGTGGCGGGGGGTGGGTGACGGGGCGCGGAGGCACAAGCGGCGGAGGAACCAGACCACGGAGAAGCTCTGCTGGCACCGACAGCGGGGTGGCCGTGGCGGGGGCGGCTGAGCGGCGGTCAGGAGGCAGGCAGAGAGATATTTCTCCAGAACCACCTGCCGCAGCCCCTGGACGCGGGGCCACAGGTGGCTGGTGTGTGGGAAGCCAAAGCTGGGGGCAGGCCCGCGCTTCCCCTCCCAGGAGCCCTCCTCCCTGGGTTGCGCTCGCAGTTCACCTACCCTAGAACCAAAAGCCGAACCCAGGACCGGCCCCAGGGCTGCGGCTGGGGCGGGGCGGGGGGGCGGTGTAGGGGCGCGGGGGCGGAGGCATGTGCTCCGCTGGCTTTCAGCAAAGCACGCAGTGCCCAGCGCTCCGCAGTGACATGCACGCTCCCGACAGGCGCGGGACGCTCGTGCCCAGACCGCACAAGCCCGCGCCCCTCCGCACGGGCGCGCGCCCTTCTGCGTGACGCAGCAGATGAGGGGGGCGGTGAACGCGAGTCCGCGACCGCGGATCTGCCGCTGGGTGTCCGTAGTGCGCTCAGCTAAGGGCCCGCGTCCCGCCTCTCCATGCGTGCGTTGGTCCGTCCGCACAGCCTCCCCACCTGTCCCATGCCCCCTCCCCAAACGTCGGAGAGGAGCATGCACCGCCCCCACCCACGAGTCCACGGCGGGTGGGGAGCAGATGAACCGCTGGAGAAGACACTATTACAGCGCAGGGCGGACGGGGGGGGGCAGCGGGAGGAGTGGGGGCGAACCCCTAGTCCACGGAGCTCTGTGTCTGTCGTGTGAATGAGCCCAGCCAGCCTTCCCGGAGGCCCCCATGACTCAGCAAGGGAGATGAATTCGGGGGAGGGGGTCGCACACGCAGCCCAGCCCCTTCCCCAGCATTCTGCTTGGAGCATGAGGCCTGGAACCAGACGCGCAGAGTCCAGAAGGCCCCAAATGGCTCCTTTCCTTCATGAAGATGTGTCATCCCCGGCTCCGTTTCCATGGAAACCCGCGGTGACGTAACATAGACGTCACGCCTTGTCGGAGGAGTTGGAGCTTAGGTTTGGCTCGTAGAGGACCCCAGAGGCGGAGCTCCTGGTACGAGGAGGCCTCCTGTGGGGACTGGGCAGACCCGGGCCCAGCCTTCCAGCGGGCGTGGCCACCAACCCGAGACTGGCGGAGCTGCGGGGCTGCGGGGCTGCGGGGCGGTCACGCGCTCTGCCCCTCTGCGCTCTGCCCTGCAAATGGCAGGCTGGACTGGTGAGCCGCGGGGGCACTGCCGCCAGAAGGCCCCCGGCCCCCTCGCACTGGAGTGGCACACCCCTCCCGCCCCTGCGGAGCTCCTCCAGCCCTGGGCACTTGCCGCTCCTCCCCCCAGCTCCTCCCTGCAGTCCCCACCTCCGTGGCACCTTGCCGGCGCTTCTGAGCCTTTTTCCTCCTCGCACTGGAAAGCCCGACCTCTTCATATTCGTACTCCAATGGCCCCGTGTCCGTCTCTGCCTCACAGAGAGGGGACCTTGTCGCGGGGTCCGCGTGAAGAATAACCCATCGCCCGCCTGTCCGGGCCAGGTGCGGAGGCGTCAGTGAGTCCTCCCCAGGCCGCTCCCCTGCCAAGCCCCACTCTCCTCAGGGAAAGTCCTCCAGCCAGGGAGTGGAGTTGGGGGCGCTTTGCTGACCTGTAAGGGCCCTGGGCCTGGCGCATAAATCCAAGGAAGGGCCCCAGCTCAGGGTCCTAAGGGGACATTCCTCCGTGGCGGAAAGCCCACGAGGGGGTGCCCCCTCTTGCCCACCCGGCTGCATCTCGCAGGGCCGACAGTGCGGCTCCTGCTATCCGCCCCGTCCTCCACAGCCCTGACCTCCCTGCCCAGCACTGTGCACACTCTCCATCCTGGGCATCTCTCTGCTCTGGGTGGGAGCTCCGCCCCCGCCCCGTAGTCCCACCCTGCTTGTCCTGGCGTCTGGGTTGTGAGAGGCTGGGTCACCTCTGTGCCTGGTGGGCACCTGTGCTGGGGTGGGGGGGGGCTGCTACAGGGAGAGGTGTTTGGGGCAGATGTTTGGGGCTTCAGAGGCACAGCAGTCTTTGTAGGATGGGTGCAGGCTGTGGCCAGGGATGGGAGCACAGCCACTGGGGCTCTGCCCTTGAGTCCTCACAAGGAAGGTAGTTGAGGGACGACCAGGCCACCGTGGCCAAGGGGCTCACTTTCTCTGTTCAGGCGAACGTCAGGGTCCAAATCCTGGGGGAGGGTATGGGGTAGCTGGGCCTCCGCCACCAACCTGCTGTCCTTTGGTTGTTGGTTTCAATCATTTGGAACACTTTTTGTTGTGAAATACAATGACTATTCAGAAGAGGACATAAAACAGACGTGCAGCCTGATGATTGAAGGTAAGTGCTCCCCAGTCATCCACCATCCAAGTGAAGACTAGAAATCCCCACCTCTCCCCAAAGCTGCTACCTCCCCCAAAGCTCCCCCCCCAGACTCTCCAGATTCAGAAGCAATGAATTCCTCTGGACCCCCAGAGTGCATGTCCCTAATTGCCCGTGATTGGTTCCTAAAGGTTATGGTTAGAGATGGCTTGTTCTTGAACCTGCCTTTGTGCCTGGCTTCTGTTGGCCTCATCTGGTGGGCTTTGGGGCTGTGCCTGCCCGCAGCTATGACCCTTCACTGGGTAGGAATGCCCCCATCCATTTACTTGCTTTCCTCCGGATGTTGCGTGGTGGTGAGTGCTTCTGGGAACAGCGCTGCTCTCCACGTTCGTGCGAGCCCTGTCTCTTTGCTGGGTGTCCGCCTAGAGTGAGGGATGGTCACAGTTGGACACGTGTGGATTATGTGGGTCCACACCACCTGTATGGCATCCTTCGCTCCTTGAGCTCTCCTAGACTTGGATGGGATTTGGTGTATCTCCTTAAGCTGGTTCTAATTTGGCTCCCTCATGGACGAATGAGGGGGGCAGTTAGTATTCATGGACCTTTGAAACCCTTCTCTGTCCATTTTCCAATTAGGTTTCTCTTTCTTCCTCTTTATCAGCTCGAGCCGTTCTTCACACACTTTAGACAGACATCCGCCTGTCCCGGCTTCCTTGGGCGGCTGTCAGGCACGAGCACTAGTGGGTGGCTTAAAACAACGGACATTTCTTCTTTGACAGGCGCTGGAGGCACGAAGCTGGACATCAAGGGCCAGGAAGGGCCGTGCTCCCTTTGAGGCTCTAGGGAAGGATCCTTCCTGCCTCTCCCAGCTCTGGCAACCCCAGGCATCCCTTCGCTTGTGAATGCTTCCCTCTGACCCCTGCCTCCTTCTGGACATGACCACCTCCCTGTGTGTGTCCAAATTTCCCCCTTCTGTAAGGACAGCAGTCATTGGGTTAGGGCCCCTGTAATCCAGTATGACGGCATCTTCACTTGATCTCATCAGCAAAGTCCCCGTTTCCTAGTAAGGTCACACTCACAAGTAGTGGGGGTTAGGACCTGAGCATTTCTGGATGAGCCTCAGGTCCTTTGCCACGACATGTTCCAAATATCTTCTCCACTCTTGCGTTCTGTTTCCGTTTTTGAAGGCTATGTTTTGGTAAGTGGGAGTTCTTAATTTTAATGTAGTCCTTTTACGGTTGATACTTAATTCTCATATTGAGGAGCTCTTTCCCTCCCCCAGACCAGGAAAATATTCTCCTGTGTTATTTTCAAGATGCCTTCCCAACTGAGGCATACCCACCTGGAGTAGATTTCTGTGTGTGCTGGGAGGCAGGGCTTAGGTGCCCTGTTTTCCGTGCGGACATCCGTTTATCAACAGGTGGCCATGCCCCTGCTTTGCACAGCAACTCTGTCACAAGTCCGTGGTCCATGCATGTGTGTGTCACGTGGGGCTTTGTGCACCAACATCAGTGCCACACAGCCGTGTAAGCTGGACGCCTGCAGATGAGTCCCTCTCTCGCTCTGTGACAAGATGTCACACGTGTTCTTGCCCCAAAATTACGATGTTTGGCGAGTTCACACACACAGAAATTCTGCTGGGCTGTCCACTGGCATTTATTCATCCTACAGATACAGTTGGGGGGAAAAGGACATGTTTAAACTTGGAACCTTCCAAAATCCATGACGGTTTTGTTCCCCACTTATTAAGGAAGTTGGGTCTCCTTTCGTCTTAGTCAATGATGTTTTGCCTGAGGTCTTTCATGATTTTCCATGTGGAATTCCCCCATTTCTCTTAAGTCTGCTCCTGAGCGTTTGACATTTCCAATACTGTTTAAATGGAGTCTTTCAAAAACGTATTTTCTAATTTTTTGTCACCGCTGCATAGAAATATAATGACTCCTAAAAGCCTTGGACGGACCCTGCTGGACTCTCCCTCCAGTCTTGGTCATGGGTCCACAGATTCACATGGATTTTCTACACACACGACGTCCGATCCGTGAGCAGTGACAGAATCACCTGACCTCCAGGCCTTATCGCATCCGCTGTTCCTCCCTACAGCTTGGCTCAGACTTCCAGCACCATGGTTTATAGAACTGATAATAAAAGGCCTTTTTATCTCCTTCCTCATCTTGAAGGCAAAGCTTTCACTGTTCATATGCAGTAAGGGTTGGCGTAGGGAATTTTGTGGCTGGCCTTTATCAATCAGATTAAGGACGCCCCTAGAGTGCTAATAGACTTTCAAAATAATAAATGGATGTTGAATCTTGTCAAGTACTTTTCCAGATATTATTGAAATTAATCAAATGACTTTTTAAAAAGATCTTATTTATTTAAGAGAAAGAGAGGTGGGGGAGGGGCAGGGAGAGAGAGAATCTCAAGCAGACTCCCCACTGAGCAGGGAACCAGATGCGGCCTCAATCCTGCGACCCTGAGATCATGACCTGAGCTGAAATCCAGAGTCGGACCATTAACCAACTGACCCCCCCCAGGCTCCCTGGGGTCATTGTCGTTGAGCAAGGTAGCTGCTCTCAGGATATGCGCTAGAGCCTGCTGGCCCAGCGGACTGTGCCAGTGTTGAGTGCCTGGGCATTCACCGGTCAGAGACACCACCCGGTGCCCAAATCTAGGGCCCATGGGGAGACCAGAAGGTGGGAAGGGACAGAGGCCCAATTCGACCTCGGAGGAGGGCCTGTCGTGCATGGCCTCCCCGCTCTGGCATGATAACACAGAAACTTATCCAGAGAATACAAGTTCTCCTGGGCATCCGACCTTTAAGTGTCCACTGGGGCCGGCCTCACACGCTCGCATGGACGTCTGCTAGGCGGTGAGTGGGCAGTGACCCGTGACTACCTCCAGCAGGACAAGGACCACCGCTCACCATGGTGAAGCTGGGCTGCAGCTTCTCTGGCAAGCCGGGCAAAGACCCCGGGGACCAGGACGGGGCTACCACGGACAGCGTCCCTCTGATCAGCCCCCTGGATGTGAGCCAGCTCCAGCCGCCTTTCCCTGACCAGGTGAGGGCCTCGGCTGGCATGAAGGGCCGTTCCAAGCCTGCCCTGGGCGTAGAGGGCCGTGGGCTAAGGGTTATTTAGATGTGGTCTCCCCCCAACACACAGGAGAGCAAGCAGAGGAAGGGCTGGGCTGGGCCAAAACCCTAGTTGGCCACAGGCTCTCTGTGCGAACTGGTCAGCTCTCCAGCTGGTCACCCAGAGTCACCTGTGCACGGTGAGGGGGGGGCTGGCTGCAGGCCGACCGTCAGGACTCACATGCCATCTTGCAGGCAGTGTCCAACTCACGGTGCCACCTGGCAGGGTCTCAGCAAGGAAAATGCCTTCCCTGCGGGCCCGAGGCAGGGTCCTTAGGCCATGACTGAGAGAGCGCAGCTTTTGGAGGAATCTGGAGGAAGCAGGCCCAGCTCTAGAGTGGCCCTGCCTCACCCCACCTGCGCTCTGGAGTGTGACCATCACCAGGAGTTGTCCCAGCAGGAGGGCAGGTGGCAGCCATCTGTACCCACGTCAGTCAACTTTCGGCTGGGGACCATGGGGTGGGGACCTCAGGCATTGACAGGTGTGCCCATTCATTGGCCGAGGGCAGTTCTCCAGGGATCTGGGCAGGCTTCAGTGGTGTCTGCTCTAGTTCTGGACCGTGTTCTCAACAGACAGGTGGGCCCACTGTTTGCCCCTTGGGAGCACTCACACAGCACAGGACTGGAGTTGCCTGGGCCGCTTCGTGGTAGGGGCCTGGAGACTCTGGGAGCCAGAGGGGGAGGTGTACTTCCTGGAGGAAGGAGCCAAGCTGTGGAACAGCTACAGGGGCAGCTCCTAGCAGGGAGAGCTGACACCCTTAGAACTGAAGGCAGCCAGCAGACTGAGGGGCTCCATCTGTGGGCCCCAAGGCCGCCATGGCCCAGCAGGCATCCAGCATCCCTCTTCCCCTAGCCTTGGCTTGTAAACAGGGGAGCCTAGCCCACTAGACAGTCCTGGCGGCCGGTCAGCACCACAGCACTGCTGGGCAGCAGCCCCTGAACCTCTCCTCGTCCTCCCAGTTTAGGGTCTTCCTGGGTCATCTCTTTCTGCAGGTGGTTATCAAGACGCAGACGGAGTATCAGCTTTCCTCCCCGGACCAGCCAAAGAAGTTCCCTGACCTGGAGGCCCAGAAGCTGGCCTGTAACCACCCAGAGGAAGGGCGCAGGGTAACCTCCCACCCCGTCCCATGCTGCCCAGTGGTCACTTCCAAGGGGAGGCAGGGCAGGGGAGATGGAGAGCGGGCAGCTGCAGGTGTGGTGGCCAGACGCCAGCCAGGTTGCCTGGGGGCCCCTTGCTCGCTCACGTGCTCTCACCCCAGTCAGAAGCCTTCGTCCTGCTATAAAGGGGGTGAGGGTAGCCGCTGCCTTCAGAGGCGCTGCCCAGAGCCAGTCTGGGCCACCCCTGCTCCTGCGGGGGCCCCGTTTTTCCCAGGGGCTCACGTGTCTCTTCCTTAGTGACTGGGGTTCGGTATGCAGTACGGAAGGTCACTTCTGCCGCATATCTGGCTAATACTTTTTTCTCCGAAAACGATGGTTTTTGTTATTTTTAGCATACTATTTCTAAAACCGGTTGTTTTTCATCAGTGAAACCGGCTCCGTCTCCTTTCCTCCCCTGCTTGGAGCTAGAAGCGCCCCTGCCCCCAGGGGCCACTGAGCCCCTGATGGCTGCCCTGGCCCTCGCAGGGCTTCACAACCCCCTCCACGGCGTCCTTCTCCTTTTCACCCGCCCCTGCAGCTGCCCACAGCGCGGATGATCGCCTTTGCCATGGCGCTCCTGGGCTGTGTCCTAATCATGTACAAGGCCATCTGGTATGACCAGTTCACCTGCCCGGACGGCTTCCTGCTTCGGGTAAGGCCTGGGGAGCAGCGGGACCGCTTGGGGAGTGGGGCAGTCCAGGTCTTCCTGCGCTGCCATCCGGCCAGAGTGTCCCCGCGAAAGCCCGGGAGGTGGGCTGCCTGCCCTCCCCCACCCAGAGAAGACCCCCTCCGGCGCCGCCCGCTGCCCCTGACCCGCCCCCTCCCGCAGCACAAGATCTGCACCCCGCTGACCCTGGAGATGTACTACACCGAGATGGACCCCGAGCGCCACCGCAGCATCCTGGCGGCCATCGGGGCCTACCCGCTGAGCCGCAAGCACGGCACCGAGACGCCCGCGGCCTGGGGGGAGAGCTACCGCGCCGTCAAGGAAGGGCCCAAGGCGCCCACCCAGGCGGGCGCGGCGGGGGCGGCGGCTGCGGGGGGGGACGGCGGGGGCGGGGGCGGCCACCGAGCCCCCCAGCAAGGTCTCGGCGCAGGGAGAGAAAGAGGCAGCGGCGCAGGGAGAGAAAGAGGCAGCGCAGAAGGCCGCTGGCAGCGCCCCGCCCCCGGCCCCCCAGTGATGGCCTCGGCGCCTGCAGCCCGGGTAGGTGTGCTGGGGGCGTGCTGGGGGCCGGGCGGGGACTGATGGAGGGCGTGGGGGGGCGTTGTCCGGTGAACTGGAAGCGGAGGGGGGGGGGTCCCGCGACCTGGAAGTGGAGCGGCGGGGGGCTCAGCCACGCACTCCTTCCCACGCAGGTGGGCGGTGGGGGGTCACCTGCCCGCCTCGCAGCGCCTGCTCTCGCCCCTCCTCCCCTCTGTCTTGGCAGCGCCCCGCCGGCACCTGTGACCGCCCTCGCCCGACGCTCTCCCATGCTGTGGTCGTGCCCCTGCTTCCAGGACTCCTCGCTGATGCCCCCGCCCCCAGCCCGAGCTTGTAGCTCCGTTGCTTTTCTCTAAATAAAGATTCACATCCGCCTGGGTCTCGTGTTTCTCCTGAGCATCCTCAGACCCGCGGGCCTCTTTCCTGCCTTCCCAACCCCCGCGGGAGTGAGCGCGAGGGCGTCCTGTCTCCCGCGACTGCCGGGAGGGACCCCTGAGGGATCCCGAAGAGCCGCGGTGGAGGGGCGGGGAGCCGGCCTGGGCGCCAAGACCCAGCGTGGACAGCGCTTTGTCTGGCCCATTGCTCCGCTGGCTGCGAAGAAACAAGCTGTTCAGGGAATCCTCTGGGAGCCGAGCTCCATCCCTGACTCCCCCCAGCCCTCCCTGCAGCAGAGCTCCTCTTCCTCCTGCTGCGCCTGGGCCCCCCCCACCCCATTGGACAGGAGCGGCTGAATCCCCCTGTTCTGGGCAAGCACCCCCGGTTCCTGACTCCAGCCCAACCTCCTCACCCACAGCAGAGAGTCACTGAAGAAATGAGAGAATGCATGGATCCACGGGGCCCTGGGCCTCCTGGAAGAGGGGACGTGAGCCCATTCCTGGGACATGAGAGGGCTCCCTGCTCCCAGAGCACCCCCATCTCCCACTCCCTTGGAGCGAGAGAGGAGGTGGGAGGTCCGAGGGTGTTGGAGTTGGCAAGAGTCTGTTTACCCAGCCCACAGCACAACCCACCGCTCCCTCTGCTTCAGCCCTGTGAAGCCCAGGTCTGCTCCTGCCCAGCTAGGCCTGACCATGGCCCCTACTCCAGCACCTGTCCTCCTCTGAGGGCTTTGATCCTAGGCCCTGATACCCCACCTGGTGAGAGGTGAGCTCAGGCCCTAGCACTAAGGGCTGGGATGGGGGTAGGGACGACAGCCTTGGGAGCTCATGCAAAAGAAGCAGACAGGAAAGCGATAGGCTTTTTCAACGGGGTCACCTAGTGTTGGGTGACATGGGTCAGAGTCCTGGAGGAGGCCCCTCTTGGCCCTAGTGCTGTCCTGTGGGGGGACACAGGGCCCGGCACTCAGACAACGTGGGACCATCTGGCCTCCAGACCAAGGAGGCAAGGTGAGGGGTCTGAGCAGCTTTGGAACAGGGGGCAGTGACCAGGAAGTGAGACGGGTGTTCAAAGTGTTCCGAGAAACCACGGACACGCTGGAGGCCAGGTGGGGGGCGTGGGGGTGGACAGGTCAGGGCTGGGCTGTGAGTCCTGTGTCCATCATCAGTGGGCTCCTGTCTGTCCAGCCAGCCCTCCGTGCATCCATTCACTCACCTACCACTCATGACCTGTCATCTGTCCCCTGTTCCCTCTTTCTCTAGCAGGTACCAGCGCTCTGTCATCTGGCTGAAGTGCTTCTGAGCCTCGGAGAGAAAGTTGCCTCTTAACTCTTAAATGGCTCAGTGTGGATTTCCCAAGAAGGGCATGTTCTTATGTCACTTCGTGCAATGGTCAAAATCAGGAGCTTAACTTTGATACAATACTCTTATTTAATTCGTGTACCTTAGTAATATTTTCCCAACTGTCTCAACAATGTCCTTCATAGCAAAAAAAAAAAAAAAAAAAAAAAAAAATCTGGCCTGGGATGCGGTCCAAGAGCCCGGCCACATCCTCCTTACTGGTTTCTCCCCTGGGGCAGCTCAGTCTGTCTGTGGTGACCTTCACGGTTTGAAGCACACAGGCCAGGTGATCTGTAGACTGGCCTCAGCTTACGTGCGTGAGGCGTGTTGTCGCGAGCAGCTGGAGGCTGCATCCCCAGGAGTGATGCCGTGTCCCCCTCAGTGTCACATGGGTGTGACATCAGGAGCCACTGAGGTCTGCTTGTCTGCCCCGCGGTTGACTTAGATCACTCGGCTAAGGTGGCTTTGATGAGCCTCGTGACCTTACCATTTGCCCTTTGGAAATTAATACACATTTTGTGGGAAGATACTCTGAGACGATGTAAATATCTTGGTCCTCACCAACCCCTCCCTCGTTTAGCATCCACTGAAAATTCTTGTCTGAATCAGTCATGCTATATTTTCCGAGCGGCGATTGTCTGAATTCAGGATTTTTTCTACTCTTAGCTAGTTGACATTCTATTCATTTACCATAAAGAAAAGCTCTCCCTTCTCCCCTTTCATTTTTATACATCAGTGTGGCCTACTGATTCCCATCTTCCTTGGTCAGCTAAACCCACCGTCAGTATTTGGTTTTGTGTTCACATTGTTTTGTATCTGGCTCAGGGAAGTCAGTCTCTGGGCGCTTCCTAACTTTCTGGCACGAAGGTGCTCCAGGCTTGACTGGTGCTACAGGGGTCTGGGCGCTGGTCGCGGGCTTTCCTCCGGCCCCCTCGGTGCATCGGGCCGGTGCGATCTATGTGATACATGACGCACGATGTTCACAGTCACACACACACGACCTGCGTTTCCCTCCTCTCTGTGCATCTGGGTGTGCACATATACACACGCGCATGGGTGTGCACGTGTGTGTGCGTGCACAGATGCAATCCCCACGAGTCCACACAGCACGCCCAGACAATACCTGTAGACTGTGAGCGCGAACCACGTGCACACATCTCCATGACTTCAGAGTGATGCCTCTAATCCCAACCCCAAAACATCAGGTTCGTTCTAGTCCCCCCTCCCTTACTGATAACGCCCCCCTCCAACACAGAGAAACCTGTTCTCAGTGTATTTGTTTGCTTAGGGTTAGAATACACGGGCGTCCTTTTCAGAACTGGTAAGCCATAGCATGAGTCTCAGACGCGCAGGGCTAGCGTCGGGGCCACTCTGGAGTCTGTCTTCAGTTTGAGGGCAAAACTGTAGTTAAACTGCTGTGCTCCTCGCGTCCCTGTGGCTGTGCTGTCCCGCGGACACCGAGCGGACTCACTATCGCGGCTTGCACTCTGTTTCTGGGTCCTTCCCCATTTTATTGATTTTATCCTACTATTTAGTATGTAAAACATTAACAGGATTCCGACAAGTGACCGGCTCCCTCCCGCCCCTGAGGAAAATCAGTTTCCCATTTTATTTGTCCCGTTTGACATTTTTTCACTGTAAGGATTTCTCCCCCACGCAAAAGACAATCAATTCTCCGACACAACCTGGGTGTCCTGCAATTCAGTCCTACGCTGACATCAACTCCCCAGAACTAGCACAGACCCCACAAGTGGAGGCCTTGGTGTCAGGAGCCCGCCTGATTCCAATGCCGTCACAAGCATCAGGTCTTCGGGCCACCCACGTTTCTGTCCCACTCAACTACCGAGTGGGGGGATCACGTCTTGTCTTGCGATTTGATAACTCAGTAGTGTGACTTAGAGAACTCTGGAAAGCACTTAGCAGAGTACTAGTTTGTTATAAAGTACACAACTCAGGGAGAGGCACCAGGTGTGAGCACAGGAGCGCGACCCTCCTGGCACCTGTGTGCTCCTCGGAAGCCCCGATCTCCTTGCCCCAGAGCCTATAACCCAAGTTCGCCCTCCGTCCCACAGGTCAGGCGGGAGCAGCCCAGACCTATGTCATTCGCATAAACTCGGGCGTGGCTCTGAGTCACGAAAGTCACCCATTCTCTCACGAAATCCCTAGTTTTAGGAGCCCTGCCAAGAGCAAGGGGACAAGGGCCAAGAACATTTTTTATTTTTATTTGTATTTTTCTCCAAGATTTTATGTATTTATTTGACAGACAGAGATCACAAGTAGCAGAGAGGCAGGCAGAGAGAGGGGAGGAAGCAGGCTCCCCGCTGAGCAGAGAGCCCGATGTGGGCCTCGATCCCAGGACCCTTGGGATCACGACCTGAGCCAAAGAGGCTCAACCCGCTGAGCCCCCCAGGCGCCCCAAGAACAGTTTTCATTGCCGGCGGTCACTTACAGGCTCTGAGAATCGCCGGCCGCCGGGTGTGAGCACTCTCCCAGCTCCTGACCTGGCAGGACGGTCTCCTGCCCCGTTCCCCTGCCCCGGGCTCTGCTGGCGTGTGCAGTGAATAATTTTGCGTCTGTGCTCTGTGTTGTGGAGATTTACCTTCAGGGCAAATTCCCAGGAGCAGTCTTGCTGACTTAAAATTTTTTACTTTACAAAATGTTATGATTTACAACTATAAATTTAAACCAGGGCCGGGGAGCAAGAATTCCTTCCCCTCAAAGGCCCTTCTGGCTTGAGCAAGAATCGCATGGACATGAGACAGAGGAGCAAGACAAAGTCAAACCTAATGGCGTCCATCCGTGCGGTCCATGCGGTCCGGGGAATCAGCAGGGTGGGGACTTCGAAGTCGCACAGATGAGGTCCATCTGTCGCCTCGCAGAAAGGGGTGGCCTGGGACTTGAGAGGAAAGGGGGCACTTCGCGGAGGTTTGCCCTGCCGCGCAGATGGGTCACTCCGATGAAATCCATCTGCTCATCACCCTTACTTGGGGAAAGACCCCAATTTCGGTTCTTCTGTGTCATTAAGGGGGGACAGGAGTATGTCTTGGAACTGCAGGATCTGAAGTGCCCTCTGCTCCCAACGACCCCCAGCCTGGCCCGGGCTGAGGGGTCTGTCCTGAACCCCTCCCTCGGCGTTCCCAACCTTTCAAGCTCCGTTTAAAAGCTACTTATGAACCCAGTTACTTTTGTGTTAGTGAGTCTTCGCGTGCTCTGTGATCAAAATGCCATTAACTTAATCATTTGATATATTCAGTCTCTAATTTTTAAAAGACCTTTCACAAACGTGTTGAACTTGATTAATTAGATGTCCTTGGTATTTCAGGCTCTAACCCTGAATGGATACATCATATTCTCGGCGTTTTGAATGTCGTGCGGACCTGCAACCTGCCCCACAAGCCTCTGTGAGCATTTGTGAGCTACTCAGCATCACAACGAAGTCAGAGCTAGTCAGGTCTTAAACTGAAATTCTCTCACACTAAAACCCAAGGTTATCGCGATAAAATTTAGCCCTTCAGATTTCGAGTTACTGATACTGCTCAGCAGGAGACAGCAGGACTTCAGGGTGTTCCCAGGGCTCGGGGCAGACCTAGCCAGGCCTGCAGGAACCAGCGCCCGCAGGGCCACCGGACAGGCCTCCTGCCCTTGGCCTGGCTCCTTTCTCAGGGTCCCTTAAATTTTGCTCTCACTCAAATTTTACAGAAACCTGTTATAAAAACCCTTGCACAAACCAGAGGCCCTGGACTGCAACCCCATGTTGTTGACAGTGTCAGATAAAATGTCCAAACGCTACAACATTTCTTCCACAAACAGACTGTGTCCCAAGTTCACGGGCTCCCTGACGCGGGACTCCCGGGATGATGAGATTCAGGGACAATGTGAGAAACTGTGCTCAGGGGGAGAAGAAATGCTGGGATCTCGGTTCGAGGTCAAACCAGGCACAGTCACGCACAGGGCACCGTGGTCTTTGGGGCCAGCTGTCCTTCTCCTGGACACGCCGCAGGCATGGGGTGAGTCCTCTGTGAATTAACGCTGTGTCCGGGCCAGGCGGCCCTGGGTAATCAGACGCACGGTCAGCCCTGGTCCTCCGGCACCCATCCTGGCGCGATCCACATGCGAGGGGGTAATTTAAGCAGGATGTGAGTTTGGCTGGTGTGGCTTCCCCTGTGAGCCAGCGGGAAACAGAGCGCGGCACCCAGTCGAGGACGGTGTTCATGCACGTGCCCACCAACCCCACGAGGTTGACTGTGGTGCACCTACCCCACCATCCGCCAGTAAGACTCTCCCCAGTTCCTATCACCTCCTCCCATCTCTTCAGGGCAACTCTCACGTGCAGCCCTTGGACACCATCCTCAAGGTCGTTTCAAGGTTATGTGCCTCCCCCTGTCAGGCAAACACTGAGGGCCAGGCCTGGGCATTCGGGGTCGGGATCCAGCCGGTGAGGGCCTCTGCTCAACTGGCCGTTACCCTCCCAGAAACAGAGACACGGCAGCGTGTCCCCTTGTCATCCTGGGAGCACAGAGCCTCCTCCCCAGCCCGGCACTACCAGCCGCTGCAGAGCAGAAAGGTGAGCCAGTGCAGCGGGGAGTCGGGAGGGCGACCCAGCTCACAGGGGTGAGCCCACACTGCAGGGGGCTGCAGCAGCTGGGGACTCTAAGAACTGCAGGCTCCTGGGGACCTTGCCGTGGGGCCCTGCCATGGGACCCACAGTGGGACCCTGAGGGGCTGCATCTTGAGGAAGACAGAGGAACAGAGGCTGGTCCTTCCGCGGAGTCCTGCGATGTGGTGATGCTTCCAGGGTCCTCTTTGCACGCCTGCGCCGCACGTGCACACTCACACACGTGCACCTGGGCCAGGCACGCACATGCACGCTCACAGTTGCACGCAGACACGCACACGTGCACACATACATGCAAACGTGCGTGCGCGTGTCCTCTCACTCTGGCCCCTCCCCCAGCGTCCCAGTGGCAGAGCCACAGGCACGTTCCCTGCAGTAGACCCTTTCTTTCCCTGGGTGGGGCAGTGGAGGAGGCAAGGAGAAGGTGGCAGGTGTCCTGGGGTGTTGAATAAGGCTCCTTGAACTGGCAGAGTTCGACCTGATGCATTTTTTTGAAAGATTCTATTTATGTATTTGAGCAAGTGTGAGCAGGGGCAGGGGGAGGGGCAGAGGGAGAAGCAGACTCTCCGCTGAGCGGGGAGCCTGACAAGGGCCTCGGTTCCTGACCTGAACCAAAGGCAGACGCTTCACCAATGGAGCCTCCAGGCGCCCCCGATCTGATGAGTGTTCGGAGTAGACACCCCCCTCCCTGCCCCCGCCTCTCGCAGGCCAGCAGGGCCATCCGCGCAAGATCCCAGCAAGAGCGGACCAGACACCTCCTGGGGAACGAGAGGACGACTCTGGGCTGGAGGCCAAGGGCCCCCCAGGCTCAGCCTCCTTGGCCTTCCTGAGCCCACACAAACTGAAGCCGCTTAGATGTCCCACAGCCAGAGTAAAAGACCAACAGTCCTATAAAATGGTTCATTTAGGCATTTTCTCTTTATTGTGTGCACAAGTGTGTTATTTCATGACCTTCAAAATCATGGCCTTTGAAGGGATAGGACTTCTTTGTCCTCTTTTTCGTCTGTCTGCTGTCTCTGGGCCACACGGCACAGCGCTGTGGCGTGGGGAGATCACCATCACCACGCAGTTTGCCCGAGGAGCGGGGGCGCCCCTGCCCGCAGCTAGGCCTTGGCTCGCAGGCCCCCAGGGACCGTCCCCAGACAGAGCATCAGCTGGCACAGCCTGTAGTGGGCCTGTGAGAGCCGTGTGTGCCCTCTGGGAGTTTGGCCCTGGCCTAGAGTGGGTATGGATGGGGCTGTTGGGTCCTCATCCCATGCCACAACTGTGGGGGCTGGAGGGTCCCCATCGCTCCTGGGAGGCTCTTTCTCAGCCTGGGGCCCAGACCAGGCACCTCAGAGACCTCTCAGAGGTCTGGACATCTCAGAGACCAGGTGCTGGCACCCCTTGGAGTCGATCCTGGTACCAAGCACAGCCCCCAAGAAATTTCTGGCTCCCAAAGCTCACCCAGTGAGCCCTGGGTTCAAGGGACCATGCCCTACTGGGCAGCTACTCTTGTGACTTGGGGTCCTACCTCGTGCCTTTCCTCACACTGTCGCCTTGCCCAGAGCCCCTCCCTTCTCTGTCCCTCAGCCAGCTGCCTCTGGCCAGTCTCCTCCCTGTGCTGTCCTGGGCCCAGGAAAGCCGAGAACAGTCCAGCCTCTATGTTCCATTAACACGTGTTAAGTGTGTCCAGGCTGCTGGGAGGGGACTTGGTTCAGCAACAGACCACGGGATCTGCTGCGCTTCCCCGAGAGAGGCTGAAATAGAGAAGTCTGCGGGGGGTCCTGGGGTGGTGCGTGCCTGCCCAGAGAGGCCATGTCAAGGCAGTGTGGTCACGGCCTGGGCAGACAAGGCAGGATCACAGCTCCCAGGGTCTCTGGGTGGCGTGCTCTGGGGCTCCTGAGCTAGGACCAGACTGGTCAGCTCAAACCACAAGAGCAGGGTTGGGTAAGCTCCGTGGGGTGGAGTGGGATGGGATCCTGTCCAAGGGGCACGTGAGAAGGTCCCTGGAGGCAGGCACACGGTTGACCAGAAGGGCTGCTCAGGGGTCAGTGAGGGACTTGCTGCCCTGTGGCTGTGGTCTGGGGCCCGAGCTTTCCAGTCAGCAAACCAGCCTGAGCCAAATACTCACCAGAGCAGCACCTGGCCACGGGCCCAAGGACACCAAGGGGCTGGGGACATGGGCCCGGCACTGACTTCAAATCTAGCGGGAGATTCCCTGCCACCTGCACGTTTAGAGACAGATGAGCTGAGGCTCCGGCAGTGCCCCAGGCCACCTCCCATTTCCAAAGTCCAGCCCTAGCTCTCTGCTGGAACCGAGGGACCTCTGTGGAGCCCAATTGACCCTCACATGGGCATGGGCATGGGCATGGAGTGCGAGGGTCTCACCCTCACCCAGGGCAGAGGGGGCCGTGCCATGGTATCCCCTGTTCCGACCCCGCAGCCAAAATCAGCTCACGTGTTTGATGTTCTTGTCTGCAGGCCGCACTCTGTTCTCACGGGGAGAGAGTCTGCAGATGACCAGAAACCCCAGGGTGGGGAGTGACGTCTGCACTCAGGAAGCCAGCCTTCTGGGTGAGGGGACGAGGTTGGAGAGCGCACCACCTGGCTACAGCCACCCTCCTCTGGGAAAGCAAGGCTGGGGACAGGCTGCGGCAGGGAGGGAGCAGAGACCCGGGTCTGACCGGGTGTCCATGCTGAGAACACACGCTGGCCTTCTCATTCCCAGCCACGGTGGGGCTGGGGCAGGCCCCCCACGAGCTCCCAGAGTCGATGGCATGGGCACAGGCATGAGTGTGTGTGTCGGCAGAGGGTAGACGGCCCATGGCCACTGCGCGCGGCCTGGTGTCCCCACACACTGCCAGCGTCCCCACGTGTCCTGGGAGAAGCGGCAGGTGTCTGTAAATGCTGCTCAGGGAGAGGGCCACAGAGAGCTGGCGCGTTGGCCCTGGTCCCCCTGGGACGCTAACCCGCCGTGTCGACAACAGCAGGGACAAGCTCTTCCCGAGGAGAGGGCTAGACCCTAAGGGGACCTGCTGCCTCCCCAGCCTGCTCTCAGGTAGTCTCGTCAAAGAGCCCCTTCCCAAACAGTTGGGCCAGCTGGGCTGACGTGGTCAATCTGCCTTCAGAGCAGCACGTGGGGCCCTCGGGCCAGTATGAGGGCTGTAGGGCCAGTGTCCTGACCAGATTCGAGGTCCTGTGTGAGCCACCCGGGCCCTAGGGAGGCCATGTCCACAGGGCCAGCCACGGCCCCGGAGCCCCTCCTGCCGTCACACAGGGTTAACCCCAAGACCCTGGGGTGTCTTCAGCTGCAGAGACACGAACTGGCAGAAGCACAGGCCCAGCTCCAGGTGGCCTGGAGCCCCCTGGGCATCCTCCCAGGCGGGGAAGTGCGCGTGGGCCACGCAGCAAGTGTAGCTGGACGAGAAGCGCAGCAGGGCCTCTCGGAACAGGGCCTCGCCGTCGGGGGCCTGCAGGAAGACCTGGCGGCAGTCCTCCAGCAGCACGTACACGAAGTAGAGCTTGTTCATGGTGTCACAGCCCATCAGCAGCGAGTGGGGCGCCAGCAGCACGTTGGCCTCACCCACCCGGAGCGCCAGCTCCCGCATCTTCTCCCGAGAGAACCTCCGGAACCAGCACAGGGCGTTCACGCCCAGGACGACGAGCAGCGGGCAGAAAAAGCCCGTGGCAGATATGAGGTAGAAGCGCTCGGCCGGCGGGCTTCTCTGCAGCCCCAGAATCAGGGGGAGGGTGAACGCCGCCAAGGAGAGGACGATCAGGAAGATGCCCAGCGGGACCCTGCAGCCCATGTAGCGGAGGCAGGACCTGGGGGACCGCACGCCGTTCAGGATGCCCAGGGCGTGCCTGTAGACCTCGGGGTCCTCCAGCACCTCCTGCAGGGGGTCGGGGATGACCAGGGTGCTGAAGGACCCCACCTTCCACGAGGGCAGGCTGTCCCTGTTGATGCAGCTCAGGCTCAGCAGGGTCTTCCCGCTGTAGAGGGCGGGCGCCGGGCGCCGGGCGGGCAGGGCGCGCTCCAGGCGGGGGCTGGCGCGGCACAGCAGCTCTCCCAGCTTGCGGTAGAAGCGGCTGTCCGTGGCCTCCAGGTAGGTCAGGTGGCTGAGGTGCAGCGGGACCCGGCAGGGCCGCAGCAGGACTGGGATGACCGGCTTCCGCTCCAGGCAGTAGCCGAAGAGAGACAGCTCGGCCTCCAGGAGGCACCAGCGGCTCTGCACGAAGTCCTGGCTCAGCACCAGCAGCACTTTCTGGCTCTGCTGGATACACTCGGCCATGTTCTCCAGGACGTTCCGGCCCGGGGTGAAGTCCCGCTCGTGCAGGCAGACCCGCAGCCCCGGGAGGTCGGCCTCCAGCCGGCCGATGAGCCCGCGCGTCCACACAGCATCCATGCTGCTGTAACTCACAAACAGGTGGAACATCTCGCCCGGCCGCAGAGGGGAGATGGCCAGCGCCGCGCCCTCGTCCCCAGGGCCGGGATCCATGGACGCCGCCGGGAAATCCATCCCTGGGGAGCTGCTTCTGGTCTCCAGAGAAGGAAACTGCCCTTGGACTGCAAGAGATGGAGACAGACTGACCCGGCGGGCGGACGACAGCAGGCCACCCGTAAAGATGGGACTGAGGTCCACGGTCTGCGGCCACCAGCTCAGAAAGCCACCACCCGCCCGAACCACTTGCCAAACCTGCCGGGAAATGGTCCGTGACAGTGAGTTTTCCCACCCACTGCTCTCCCTTCCAACTCAGGACCCACTGGAGAAAGCCAGCGTGCTCCCTTTACCAATGTCAAGGACACCCGTCTTCCAGCTCCCTGTCCCCGGCTTCTCCATCAGGGCACGTGAGCCCCCTTCCCACCATGACACCTCCCACTCCCCTGCCGCTCGGTCTCTGCCACACACACACTCACACACGTGTCATGGGACCCCCAATTCGGTAAACTCTGAGGACGCAGCCTTGCTGTTCTCATCTGGGGGGGCTTCCTTGATGTCTGCAAGACATTGGCTTTGAAAGGCCTGGGGCACACGGTGGCTGCACCATCCTGCCCTTCCCTTCTCTTCAGCTGTGGCTCGTGTGGTTACTGGTCGGGAGGGGCTGCTGTGGACTGGATGTTTGTGTCCCCAGACTCACGTGTGGAGCCCGACCCCCAGGTGATGGTACTGGCAGGTGATGAGGGCAGGAGGGTGGAGCCCCATGGATGGGGTGAGCGCCCTCACCCCTCCAGCAGCGAGGACGCAGGGGCAGGCCCTGTACACAAGCCAGCAGGTGGCCGCCCCAGACCCTGAGCACACTGGCACCCCGATCCCAGAGCCCCAGTCTCCAGACTGTGGGAAGTGACCATCTGTTGTCAAAGCCCCCAGACTGTGGTGCTGTGTTCCGGAGCCCAAGCGGACTGAGTCAGTCCTCCTCCATAATGCGTGCTGCACAGAAGGCCGTCACGCTCTCCAGAACGCGCTAGAACTCTCTCCTGTGGCTCCAGAGCCACACGTCACTTCCTGCCGCTCTGACTCGTGATCAGAGCACTGAGCTGCTGCTCGGCCACCGGAGCCCTGCCTGCCGCGTCAGAGGAGGGTCACTGAGCGCCGTCTCCCCAGGACTCGTGGCTGAGACTCTCCCCCATGCCCGCAGCTAGCTAAGGTGCCCCTGCCCAGAAGCTCTGCCCACGGCAGCCAGGCACACCCATGTGGCAGCTGGTCTGACGGGCAGCGTCCCGGGCACACCGGGCACACTGTGGCTGCGATGCTGCTTGGCCAGGCCATCACCAAGGGAGACCCCTCCCCTCCTGGTGAGCAGGAGCAGGAGAGTCAGGACCACCGGCGTCCTGCTCCGGGAAGTGCAGGAGGAAGGAGCCCGTCCGCCCACTCCCTGCTTCCACAGGGGCCCCGTCCCCACCTGCTCTATCTGGTCACTGGGAGGGAGGCACCCACGTAGTGGTGATGGGGGAGACGCATCCCCCAGCCCAGCTCAGCTCAGCATGGGGCTGGAGCCTTCACACAAGGCCCCAGTGTCCACCTTCCTGCTGGCAAGCCGTGCTACAGGCCGTCCCCCAAGCCACCCCCCTTCCAGGTGGCACCAGCACCCAAGGACGGCGGCTCTGGAGCACACAAGTGGAAAGCTTGGCTTCCCCAGGCTCCCCCTAGGGAGGGCTGGCCCCCCCTTCTCTCACCGGTACCCTGCAAGTGGGCAGTAAGGACGGCCCTTGTCCAGGAGAAGCCAGCACCTGCTCCACGGCAGTCAAGCGCTGTGACTCAGACACTGTCCTGGGCCTCGGGCGCCTGAAGAGTGCGGACTCTGGGCCGGCTGGCTCCTCACCGCACCGTCCACCTCATCCTTGTCCTCGGGGAGGCCTGGCAGGCAGCCAGGGAACCTCCCCCAGCGCTGTCCCAGACAGAAGGAAGTTTGTACCCAATACTTTCTAGAGGTGTCTCCGATGAAGCCCAAGTAGCGGGAAACCGAAAAAAGGAAGCAAATTGGGGAAGGCCGTCCTGTGGAAGGGGGATGGGTGGGCGGGGGCACGAGGCATAGCCCTTCTGAGCGCAGATTTGCGCTGGAACTCCCGGGCCTGGAGATCTGAGGCTCTGGAATCTGTCTGACAGCGACGCTGGGTGCTTGCGACTTTGCCAGACCCGCCGGGCTTGCTGGTTGCTGGGCCAGGCCCAGGCCCTCCAGCTGGAAGACGTGATGGGAAGGACTGGCCCTGCCTCTGTGGCTCCGGGCCGGCTTCGCTAGAACAGGTCTGGCCAGGGCAGGGGTGGGAGGGCGTCCTCTGTACCCGCGGGGCCGGCTGCACGCTCCCAGAGAAGGTCCCAGATGCTGGGTGGCCTCCCCAAACAGCCACAGGAGGCTCAGGTCACCTCCCCGGCTCCTGCCCTCTCAGGCCAAGGGGACACAGCAGCTTGGGAGATGCATCCCCCAATACAGTTTCCCAAAGCCGCCCCACACCCCGTCACTGACTCCTTCCCCAGTTCTACTCAGAACCCAAGGGGGTAGCCATCTGTGTCCCTCTGGGCCCTGTCCGCTTCCCCAAGACCTCCTCCCCCTTGAGCCAAGGGTGTGTCCCCGAAGGCTGGGCTCCGGGCTCAGCTGTGGTCACTTCACAAACGGCTGTTCACACTCGCGGCTGAGGACACTCAAGTGCACAGACCCTTGTCTGAGATTCCGGGAACCCAGCCAACCCAGGGCCCACAGAGCTCTGGAAGCGGGCGGAGCTGGTGACAGCACACTCGCCTCGGGCCGCTCTGGAACACAACCCGGCTGCGGAGAGAGGGGTCTGCCCTGCGAGGACAGAGTCCTGTGGGACAGGGCCACATGCCCGGCTGACGGAATCCGCCTGGAATGACGGGATTCGAGGGACACACACGTCCAGCATTGTCCCTTTTTGGAGGATAAAGATTTTCTTTTCTTTATTTTTTTAAGATTTTTTTTTTTTTATTTGAGGGAGCCTGGGAGGCTCAGTGGGTTAAAGCCTCTGCCTTCTGCTCAGGTCATGATCTCAGGGTCCTGGGATCGAGCCCCGTATAGGGCTCTCTGCTCCGTGGAGATGCCTGCTTCCTCCTCTCTCTCTGCCTGACTCTCTGCCTACTTGTGATGGCTCTCTGTCAAATAAATAAATAAAATCTTTAAAAAAAAAATATATATATATATATTTTTTTTTATTTGAAGGAGACAGAAAGAGCAAGCACACAAGCGGGGGCATGGGGAGAGGGACAGGGAGAAGCCAGACTCCTGGACCCGGCCTCGGTGCTGGGGGCTTCAGGGCCCACTGGGCTGGGTGGGGGGCACTCCTGGGCTCGGGGCTCCATCCCAGGACCCTGAGACCATGACCCCAGCCACATAATCAGCTGAGCCGCCAGGCGCCATATGAATTAGATTTTCACAACTAGTCCTTTGAGGGGCTCACCCCTCCCTGCTCGCCCTGCTGCCGTTCCACAATCAGATGGACACCCGGCCCTCACCAACACCCAGTCTTCTGAAGCAAGTGTGGCCTGGGGAGGAGAGGGGCAGAAGCCTCTGACCTCCAGGCTTTGGTTCCTTCTTCTGGTGGGCAGCCGCTAATGGGGCTCAGGCATGGTTTCCATTGGCAAGGTTCCAGGAAGGAAGGAGGGAAGAAGGAGGGAGAGAGGGAGGGAGGGGAGGGAGGGAGGGGCAAAAAGCGACTCCAAGGGAAGCCCCTGGGAGACTCCAGGGCTCTTTGCTCCTGTGACCTGTGCCCAAGAGTGCGGTGGTGGGAGTCTCACTCCCATGCCCGTCGTGTGGGGGGGGCGTCACAGTCAGAGCCAGAAGGTGACCCTCCTGCCAGAGCTGGGTGGGAACCCCCTGACAGCTGGGGCCAAGGGCGCGGGAGGTCTGCGGCCCAGAGCCCTCCCAGCTGCATAGCCACTCGCACTCCTGGGTCCTGTAGCATTTGGGGACAGCCCCCCCACTTACCCGGGTCTGGGTGGGTGCGCCTGTCCTGGACCCAGACTTCATTCCCACCAGAGCCAAAGGGAGACTGAAGACTTTTCCATCCCCCCCCCTCACACACACACACACACACTCACACATACACACACTCTCACACACACTCACACATACACACACACTCTCACACACTCTCTCACACATACACACTCTCACACACTCTCACATTCACACACACTCACACACACTCTCACACACTCACACATACACTCACACACTCTCTCACACATACACACCCTCTCACACACTCACACATACACACACTCACACACACTCACACATACACTCACACTCACTCACACACTCACACATACACACTCTCTCACACTCTCACACACACACACACTCTCTCTCACACTCACACCTGGCCTGGGGTGGGGGGGACCCTGCTGAGCCCAGGCCCAGCTCAGACCAGCCTGGGGAGGTCCGGGGAGTGTAGGAGTGGGAGGTGAGGGGCTCAAATGGACCATCCCATGTCACACACTAACTCGGCTTCCACTAACTCTTCTCCAAGGCCTGTTTGCTCCTAACCCTTAACTGCCATGTCAGGGTTCCCGCAGATCCCTGGGGTCTCAGGGCAGCGTGATGCCCCGACCTCCCAGCCCCCAGGGTTCCGGTGTTTGCCCACCCAGTTCTGCAGGCCCCCTGCTCCTCTGGGCGTGGGAGTGGGGGATCCTGAGGGCACCCCGGTCCTGCCCGCCTTCCTTGGGCCTGGGCCCGCCCACTCCACCCTGACTTGGGGCAAGTCACTGGGTGTCCAGCACCAGGAAGAGGGGTCTGGACAGGGGAGGGGGAGCTGGGGAGGCATTGGGGTCCACACAGCACAGCCACTGGCGGGGTGTCGGGGGGGTGGGGGAGCGAGATGCTCGCACCCCTCTCCAGGGAAGGTGACCCTCCCCATCCTTGCCCTTCTGGGACACTCCCCATCCCTCCCCTGTCACAGGTCAAGGGTCAAGGCTGCTCATTGAGCCCCCCCCATCCGTAGTCAGGGACCCTCCGGGCAGTGCTCGGTTGTCCTTGGGGCCTTGTCAGTGACACAGGCAACATTGCA